TAGTAGTTAGAATAGTGTTTTGGGGGCCCACTATACTATATTTGTAATAAGGAACACCCAAAATGGTATTGGTAATTATTTATAGGCTCCTTTCTGAGGGTGGTTTCAAGGTTAGGGGTTGCGTGGGCTAGAGGATTTAGGGCGAGGTGGGTCGCGCCCGCAAAACATTAGGGACGTTTTCGGGTGGGTGGGGTTTGGGTTTCAGGAGTCAGTTGCGTGCTTGGAGCCTGGATTTTAGGCTTGAAGGTGCTATTGACCTACTTGGAGGTTCATGGGTAGTTATAAGTCGGGTTATAAGTAGGGTAACTATAGCTATAACCATATTAAGGGACGTACGACTCCTCTTAAATTATAACTATCCATGAACCTCCAGGTAGTAAGTAGGGGTTGGGGAAGACACGGCGAATGGACGGGAGGAAGTGAGGGATGGGGAGAGCCAAGCAGTTGCTGGGAGCCTGTGACGCCGGAGACGCCCAGGGCCAACCCGAACTGCGCGGTTTTCTGTGACCTTGGCATGGTCGTTTTAGGGTTTTATATAGGGTTTAGGGGTTAGGGCTGATACGGTTGATGGTATAAATCCTGCAGTCCCCAGTATAAAACAAATAACCCCGAATTCCCATAGTTTAGGGTTAGGGTTTAAGGCTGATACGGTTGATGATATAGATCCTGCATTACCCATAAGAAGGAATATACAAGAGTTCCCATAGTTTAGGTTCCTGAAGGTAAGGCAGGATTTATATCATCAACAGTAGCAGTACTTTGCCATCGTCCCCAAAGAGCCCAATAGTCTGTATAATCTGTGCACCTTAATTCTGGGTGTAGGGTTTAGGGTTTCTGTATAATACGTGCGGACTATGTGCGGTGAAGCACACAGCTGGCCAGCAAGACCAAGCATGCCTTGTTTAAACTTACAAACAGCCGCATCACCCATCTGCGTTCGCCCATGAACTCGCCTTCCTAAGCCCAAAAACTTAAGCCCTGAACTCTAAACCCTAAACTCCTAAAACCCCAAACCATACACCCGAAACCCCAAAACCCATGTCAAATCTTCATCAACAGATCAACTGAGCATCAGGCGACAAGCCGCCGATGGCACCGATGCACATCAGCCCTGGCAAGCGAGGTTTCAGGATTTGGGTTTTAGGGTTTAGGGTTTAGGGTTTTAGGGTAGTGAAGTGGCCTTAATAAGTAGAATAGGGTTTTGGGGGGTTTCTTTTAAGGGTTCCTTTAAGGGATACTATAACCCCTAAACCCGAAACCCTAAATCCTAGATCCTAAACCCTAAACCCCTAAACTTAGCCTAAACCCTAAACCCTAAATCCTAAACCCTAAATCCCCGCCCGTTTCTCTGAAAACCCGGCCTGACAGAGTTCCGACGGTCGGTGCGGCGGTCGGCAAAGCAAACGGCACGACCTGGGCGTCTCGGAAAGTACGGCTTATCCATCTATGTATCTATCTATCTGTCTATCTTTCTATGCATCTAAGGGTTTAGGGGTGTTGGGGTTTGGGAAGTTTTAGGGTTTTAAGGTTTAGGGCAATCCATCTATCTATCTATGGGTTTAGGGGTGTTGGGTGTTTTTGGGGTTTTAGGGGTCTTAGGGGTTTAGGGTTATCCATCGATCCATCGATCTCACTTCTGCTAAAGGGTTCCATACTGGATCATATAGGTCGGATAAGGCCTCTATATGGTTTAGGGTTTAGGGTTTGGGGTATAGTGTTTATTGTTTAGGGGCCTCTATAGGGTAGATAAGACAGCTAAAGCCCAACAAAAAACTGAACCCGAAACTCAAAACCGAACCAAGGAAGCCCTGTCTAGCCTAAACTTCCATCCCAGAACAAAGGGTTTGGGGTCCAATTGGGCCTCGCTGCCCCAGAACGCACTCCCCAACACGAAACCCCCACCCTGCAGACTGCACTCTGGACCCTAAACCCTAAACCACCCTAAACCCTAAACCCCCCTGAACCCTAAACCCCCCTAAACCCTAAACCCTAAACCACCCTAAACCCTAAAAAGCCCTTGAAGCTTGAGGCAAAGCCTGGGGTTCTTCTGCTCAACCAGGCCGCCGCCAGCCCAGCAGCCGGCAAGAGGTAGATGCTGGTGTAGTCCGCCTGTTCCCAGAGACTCCAATATCCCTTAATTAAGGAATATGCCTGAAATTATAGTAGGATCCCCAATATGATTTAAGGTATATTCCTTAATTAAGGGGTATTGGAGTCTCTGGGTTCCGCGGTGCAGAAAAGAGGCGGACCTCGACTACACCGCAGTGGAGGTAGTGGAGGTTGTCGCAATAGTGGTGCCAGGGGTGGTTCAGGGGTGGTAGCAGTAGCAGTAGCAGTAGCAGTAGGAGTAGAAGTAGGAGTAGCAGTAGCAGTAGCAGTAGCAGTAGCAGTAGCAGTAGCAGTAGCAGTGGCAGTGGCAGTGGCAGTAGCAGTAGGAGTAGCAGTAGGAGTAGCAGTAGGAGTAGCAGTAGGAGTAGTAGTAGTAGTAGTAGGAGGAGGAGGAGGAGGAGGAGGAGCAGTAGTAAATAGCAGCAGTAGTAGCAGTCAAGCACTCGT